TGAACTATGGAGTAACAGAATACAGAGCTTTTCACCTCCTGTATTACTGGACTTGTTGAATCAGAACAGTGCCCAAAAGTCATTACCATCTGATGGCTGTGGGCTGGTGTGAAATGAGTTATTGGGCTTTATCCAGATTCTAGTGAAGAAATTACTGTCCAAATCACATAGCTGTGGCCACAGTTGGCAGAGGCTGGAGGGCTTATTGGCAACCAGGGCAAAGAGCTTCAGGACTGAATCTACACTAAGAGAGGAACTCTCTAGATCAAATATTTTACACCTACATGAGTCAATGCAAAGCTTAAACCAGTGATTTTCCTTTTGTGTGTGAGGTACTGTCTACAAACCTGTCAAACCAACATTAGACAGCATTATTTGAAAGCAAGATAGAATTCATCCTCATGGTAACTACACTGTGATTGTGGAGTGGGGATCTGTGATCACTTTGCTGTTGTTTAAAAAAAAAGCAAAACAAACTGGGAAACAGTGAAATCAGAGTTGCCACATGAGAAAGTATTTAGATGCAAAAGCTTAGTGCTCATAAGCTACCGTGAAGTCTAGGAGGGATGAGAAGCAAAATGGAAGAATATATCTTAGAGGGATTATTTATTGGCATGGAGGTCAGTAGGGATTTAGACTAGACATTAGTCATTCTCCTGGTCATCCAGGATAAGGCATTAATTTTACAGCACTTCATTTTCCTCGCTTTCCTTCTCCTGGCTTCAGGATCTTTGTAGATAAAGCCTTCTGTAAAGGAGCTCAGGTGAAGCAAAGCATGTAGAGTGAGATACACTAGCACATTTGGGAAAAAAAAACAGTAGCAGGCCGCTTCTGGGTACACAGTCTCCATTCTCAGATTGAGATTGATTACAGAAGATCCGTGTCCTAGAGAGAAAAGTATTCCTCAGGAGCAGTACTCCAAAGAGACAAAAGCCCTGCTGGCTACCTGCCTGTCCTTGTGGTGGGAGGTGCTTTGTACGTGCTGGTGAATTTTAGTGAAAAAAGAGCAATAAACTGGAAATGTCAACTAAATTTCGTGGAGGTTATACTAGTCTGATGGTGACCCTCAGGCTCTCAACTGTTTTAATTCCCTGATGCAGTCAGTAAGTTTTTAATCAGACTGCAATTACCTTATTTCTGATACAGCTGTTTTTCTGCAGTTGTCCCAAGCTGCACTCGATTCACCAGGGACTGAAAGCTGGGCATAAGTACACTGCAGCAGAACAGGCTACAGCAGAGAAGGAGCCAAATTTAAATAGCCTGAATTTCCTTGCTTTCATGGCACTTGGACATAGCTCCTTGGGAGAGCCTTCAAAAACCAGAGTGCTTCTAATCCCTAGACAGAGCCAGGGCTGCATGACCAGCATGTGCTTATTACAGCACAGCAGCAAATGCAAGAGGAATACGCTGTTAACCGTCCCAAACTGTGCATTTCACACCTGAAGTCAGGAGGAACTTGTTGCCAAACTGGAAAGATCTTGTGGGTTTCTTCCTACGTGTTGCATTTTGGGGAAGGGACTGCTGAAAATGTCTCTGCTCTGAAGTTAAGATGATGTAGAAGTGAAAAGACCTTGTTGAAACTGAACTCTGAATGGGAAAAGAGTTCTTACATGTTCCACAGTCATCTACTGGGTGAGACATCTGAATTTCAGAGGCAAAACATCTTTTTAGCTAGCAGCCAGGAATTTAAGGCATGAAAGGAACGATCTAGTAGGGTAAGTATAGTTTTTCTTTTTAGAATATAGAAAAGGGCCTGATTGAAAGAATCTTATTCCTCCCTCTTAATTTATTTTGATTTAATGTATTCAACGCTAAACTGTAATGATTTTAGACGAGTTTTGGCCCTGGACATGAGCTGAAAGCAAAGTCATAGGCTACATCCCTTCTTGCAAAGTGTAAATTTGAATGCCAGCCTGTTTGTCCTAAGTTTTCTAAAAACTAAACTTCATCTTTAAATAGCCACCTGTGACGCTTTGATGGTACTTCAGATTTCTGATCCTAATGAAGCAGCTCCCGCTTGTCTTCTTTTAACTAAGACTGCAGCCACGTGTGGGGATGTGCACTGTTGCTGTGTATGGCAAGTTCTGCAGAAGCTGGTCATGAGCACGTCCCTGATGAGTAATGGGCATAGATTGCCTGCCTTGTACATTTGCTGGAAAAAGAAATAACCTACAGTTGTATGTGTTATGAGGAAGGTATTTAATTGTCTATATTTAAACTTTTTTAGGCACATTCAGATACATAATTAAAGCTTTCCTCTTTTGTACTAAATGTAAAATGCTTTTGTTTTTGCATTCCTTGCTGAGGAAAGATCCCTGATGAAACTATAGCTTCTAGGAAGAGCCATGGAAGTAATACACAGAGGAAACTATTTCACTCAGTTGATTCATGAGGTTGAAGTCTGAAAGTCCTTGCTGTGAACATTAGTAGTTGAATATTCCCCATTCAATGGTAACAAAGTAATACAGACAAAAATTGATGATTGAAAGAGCATTTACTTAATCTCTAATCCTGTGACCCAGGAAGCAAACATCTGTTGATACTAATTTGTTGTACACAGGCTGCATTTTAAAATACCATAATTATATTATGAGGAAAAACGACAGTGTATTTTTTCTTAATTTAAGCACCTACTACATCTTAACATACAGCTATGAGTATCTCTTAGTGTACAGAGGCACAAAGCATCTTGAGTGAACTAATCCATTTAGTTCTGATTTTGCCAGATGTTCCTAAAACAAATATGAGATTTCAGCATCCAGCTGTGTCACAAACCTGGTATCTCGATATGCTGGGCACAAGAGTTACAAGCCTATAGTTTGTATGTTTTGTAACTAGTTTTCTGGGTTGACTTTAAGAAAAGGTGAGCTAATGAAAATCCCAGTTGGTTTCAGTGGAATACATAGGTACTGAACAACAATCAAGCCATCTAAGTTTTGTATTCCGTAGGTTTTATAGCCTGATATGGTGAATGAACACTTCTCTAAATGTGCGAACCCCCATTTTTCCCAGAGCTAACAGGTTTCAGCTTTTCCCTTCCTTGCTAACCGCATCTGGAGTATTGTGTCCAGTTCTGGGCCCCTCAGTTCAAGAAGGACAGGGAGCTGCTGGAGAGAGTCCAGCGTAGGGCTACAAAGATGATTAGGGGAGTGGAGCATCTCCCTTACGAGGAAAGGCTGAGGGAGCTGGGTCTCTTTAGCCTGGAGAAAAGGAGACTGAGGGGTGACCTCATCAATGTTTACAAATATGTAAGGGGTGAGTGTCAGGAAGATGGAATTAAGCTTTTTTCAGTGATGACCTGTGATAGGACAAGGGGTAATGGGTGCAACTTGGACCATAGGAGGTTCAAGGTGAATGTCAGGAAAAATGTTTTCACTGTGAGGGTGACAGAGCACTGGAACAGGCTGCCCAGAGAGGTTGTGGAGTCTCCTTCACTGGAGTCATTCAAAACCTGCCTGGACGCCTTCCTGTGTGATGTACTCTAGGTGACCCTGCTCTGGCAGGGGAGTTGGACTAGATGATCTTTTGAGGTCCCTTCCAACCCCTATGATTCTATGATTCTATGATAAGCTCACGTGCCTCATGTTACACTAAAGAAAACTAAGGCCTGTCTGCCGGTTGTTGCCAGTGCCTGTCCGTTTGCAGGGCTGTCCTCCCAGAGCTGGCACAGGAGAGGAGGGGTGTGCAGCTGGGAGGGATGACATGCACACTGGTGCTCGGGGCACTGGCTGGTCCTGTGCACCCAGGAGCACAGGCTGGACTTCCTGGTTCTCCCAGTTGCACGGGTGGGTTTAGTCCTGCTCTTCCTCCAGCCTTTCACTGGTTTGTGACCTTTCAGCCTGTTCCCTCCTCGGTTGTTGCTTGTCATCCAAGCCTGGAAGTGTAGCTGCTTGTTCCCATTGCCTCTGCCTGTTTGCCCACTCCTCTCTGTGGGGAGCTGAAAATGATACAGTTTTCTATTAGCACCACAATATATCAGTCCTGATGATGGAGATTTAGGGAAGATTTTAATTAGATTCAAAAGTAGCAGTTCAAGAGCAAATCAAAATGATAATAATGCCAACTGTTTCTAAAGACTTGACAGTAAATCAAGGATTTCAAGCCTGCTCTTCAGATACTCTGTTGGAGATAGCTGTACATAAATGACCCTTCGGTAAGATTACTTATAGGGAAGCAAAAAAAAAACTGATAAACTGCCAGTTGAAGCTTCTCATACTGATCTTATTTTTTGTCGTTGAGGCTTAAAATACTTACAAGCACTGAAAGCTGGTATTTATGAGTAAATCTAGGGGGAATGTCACTTAAACAGCTCCTAGCCCATCACCAAAATCTCCGTGTATACTCCACCAGCTCCATGGAGATTCAGTACTCTGGTATTTTTAGAAGTAAACACCTCTGTATATTTCAGCATTGTTCTTTCTAAAACATATTATTTCCTTTTACTATATTTATAGTTGGTTGGGTTTTTTTTTTAATATAAATGAACTATTTTTTTCTTGCTTTCCAAGTAGCACGTATGTAATTCAGTGACAGAGAGTGCTGTTGAACTTGAAAGCACATCACTTTCTCTTAAATCTTCATTGAGTTGTATGCTCATGTTCTGCTTTGCCTGGAGTACTGTAAATCCCACTCATTTTTACAGGGTTTAGTGGATGTAGGTATGTGCCAAGTAGAGAGACAAAGAAAGCACAAAGGTGTAACCAAGGATTTGACCTACATAATGCAACAGGAGAAAAGCTGTATTCTCCAATCTGAAAAACACAACATGTCTCTTTGGCAGCAGCAGGACTTGAACATCAGCACTTTTGAGCTAATGCCACTGAGGCCCAGTAAGCCTCAAAGAAAGCCACTACAGAAAACTGCTCTGCAGTGCTTGGCTCAAATAACTTTCTCAGATTTTGATGGATAGAAATAGTTTAAAGACTCCATTCCAGGTTTTGGAATCCAGTCTAGAACTGATTTTTAAAAACTTTTTTCCCTTTATATTTATAGCAAATTTTCTAGACAACATGCCCTTGCGAAGTTCTGGCAAGTTGAGCATGGAGACCAGAAAAGACGACGGTGAGAGCACGGCACCTGCCCCTCCACAGAAGAAGTTGTCCTGTCAGTGCCACCATCACTGTCCTGAGGACTCAGTCAACAGCACCTGCAGGTTTGTGGGATAGATATTCAGTGGTGAAACATGAGAATATCTGTTTGTGGTGGCTCAGCAGCCTCAAGTTTGGTGTTGTGTTTTCTAAGCAGTAATGTGTACTTGAGTTGTTTATACAATGTGTCTAAAAATCAGCAGTAATTTTTGTCTAGATACCAGCTACATTCTTACATTTTCATGTTAGGGTGTACACATCTTTACAGTTTTAGATAATACCTGTATTAATTCATTGCACATTTAATATTCTGAAGGTAGGAGTTTGTTTTTACAGGTGCATGTGGTTAAGGAGGAAAATTAATGAAGATACATTGAAATGTCAGTAAATACTTAGAATTTTATAACCACTCCCTGTGGAGCACCATTTATAAGAACTCTGCTCTTGGTGTCTTTGCAATAGCTGAGCTATCTTTTGTAGGTCCTCAGGGCTTTGGGTTTTCTCTTGCTCCCTGGCTAAAATCATAGAATCATAGAATGTTTGGGTTGGAAGTGACCTCCAAAGGTCACCTAGTTCAACCCCCCCACCACAAGCAGGGACATCTCAAACCTAGATCAAGCTACTGAGAGCCTCATCAAGCCTGACCTTGTTTGTCCCCAGGGGTGGGGCCTCCACCACCTCTCTGAGCAACCTGTTCCAGTGATCCATCACCTTCATATTGAAGAACTTTTTCCTAATGTCTAACCTAAATCTCCCCTTTTCTAGCTTAAAGCCATTATCCCTTGTCCTGTTTGTAGTTTGTCACTACAAACCCTTGTGAACAGACCCTCTCCTGCTTTCTTGTAGGCACCTTTCAGGTACTGGAAGGTTGCTATAAGGTCCCCCTGGAGCCTCCTCTTCTCCAGGCTGAACAACCTCAACTCCCTCAGCCTGTCTCCATAGGAGAGGAGCTCCAGCCCTCTGATCATTTTTGTGGCTCTCTGCTGCACACACTCCAACAGCTCCACGTCCTTCTTGTGCTGGGGGCTCCAGAGCTGGACACAGCACTCCAGGTGAGGTCTCACCAGGGCAGAGTAGAGGGGCAGGATCACCTCTCTCCATCTGCTGGCCATGCTCCTTTTGATGTAGCCCAGGATTCCACTGGCCTTCTGGGCTGCTGCAGCACATTGGTGGCTCATGTCCAGCTTCTCATTTACTAGTACCCTCAAGTCTTTCTCCAGTGGACTGCTTTCTAACATGTCCTCT